TACATTTATTGTCCCAAACGACAGGTGTGTGTGTGTGTGTGTGTGTGTATATATATATATATAGCAATTTTTTTCTCAGTTTAGAATTCCTGAAATAGCTTTTGTTCTGATCCTAGTGTGCATATATTTCAATAGGCTTTTACTGTATTGTTACCCCTTTTGAACTAAGTAGTTAGCCAAATTTGGGGTATGGTGGGTTGTTCCAGTTGTGAGGAGAGATTGATGATATAGCCATTTTCTTTGATGCAATCTTCTTTATTTACAAAATTATACATAAAGTCCTGTTTCCCCAATCACAGGAGGAAATCAAATCGCAAGAGAGAGTTTGCTGACTTTTCCAAACCTGACTTTTCAGCCAGCACTCTGCTTAAACAGCTTTCTCTCTTAGCTTTGTCTCAGGGCTACATTACCAACATTTCTGTCTAACAGCAACACTAACTGCCTTTCTGCCTGCTTCTGACTCTGTGTCCTGAATGCATCTCACTCCTCCTCTCCCCCCAAACACACATACACAGTTATCCAAACAATGCTCAGCTAAAGTCCTCCTCATCATGATTAAAAATCCTGGGTGGACTGGGTGATTGGGTGGTGGTGGTGAGCTGCTTAACTATCTCTCACCACTATCTTAAAAGAAGGGTGGTAACTCACATCCATAACAAGGTTAAACCCAACCTACAACAACTCATCCCTCCTAAGCTTTGTCCATCCTCCCAAAGAGGCTGAAAAGAAGATACAACAACGAATCCCAACCAGAAAAAAATGAAATAGTCCAACAAATTATATTAATTATCTACTATGAACTATTTAGAGTGTCAGGGTGTTTTCACAAAAACAACAAGGAGTGCAGTGGCACCTTAAAGACTAACAGACAAAGACTTCACAGAACTAAGCCAAATTAATTTTCTCACCCATATCTTTTTGGATTTTTCCCCCCCTTTCAATCAATGTAAAGAGCCTTTTTTCAATGAGCCCCTGAGGAACCCCTATTGTTTCTGTGGAATTTGCTGAGTGATATATACTGTGCTCATTTTGTTCTAATTGGGAATTCATTTATGTTACAGTATTATCACATAACAAGTGAAGAGACATAATTTTGAGTCTATGACATTATACAGTACAATAAAACAAATAAATTGAAATAAATAAAGTTCATTCTCTATTGTTGCCCAATTAGACTGTATACATAAAGACAATATGTATATGTTTTACAAGCCAAAGCTAGTTTGCTCCTATATTGACCTATGAATCAAACTTTTTGTTGCTCTTCTGTGATCAGAAATTTAAAGAAAATATTTTCATTTATTATTGAGATTAAGTTAAAGTTGAAAGTATTAATCTTCTATAAAATGTTATAAAATATTTAAGAATATATTTTCTTCATCAGTTTTATTGTCTATGGCCTTAATATTTTAAACAGCCTTGTAGTCCCTAGTAGTAAGCAACTATGATCATGTATTAATCATAAGAAAATTAAGAAACTTTTTAGTTGTTAAAAGGTTAGTGAACATGAGAATACTTTATGGGAAAGATGACATTTTTTTCTACTAAAGAATATGTTGACCAAATGTCTTGATAACCTTGCACAAAGTATGAAAAATGAACATTCTTATGGCACCAAATTAAATTCTGTTTTGGAATAGACAGAAAAAAATAGTCTCACTAGTTCTATTCCTGATCTGAAAGTGATTCCTTCTCCTTTGGCCTTGAATTAAAAACTCCCTTCTCTTATTTCAGTTTCCCCTCTGTTAAGTGGGACAGTCCTGTTTGTCTACTGATCTCACAGCCATTTTGCCAAAATGAATTAGTAAAAGTTTGCAACAGTCTAAAAAGTACTGTATATGTGTGTAATGTTGTTAATATGGTTATGCACTATCATACTTCTGTGCATTATATGAATCTAAGGTGACCCACCTAATATGTACCTAACAGTGAAATATTATCTCTGTCCAGCAGACCTATGAACAGATGTTTAGATTGAAAGTTTCTGTGTTGAGCCAGGGAAGGAATTGTGAATAATGGTCTAAATTTCATTGTTGCCGATACCAAGGGATTACAAAATACACACTCCTGTTTCACTTGGTAAGTGTGCAGTCAAGAGCTAACTCTGGAACTATCCTTTTGATTATTGTTATTATTATTATTATTAATTCTAGTAACGTGAGTCTTGAGCCAGCATGCAGAGACTTCCTTTTTCACTCCTCCTCTCATCTCCCCCCAGCACCTCCCCCAGCACTGACACTCACCATTTCTTCAAAGCACCTAGCACGTTCTCTGGGTCTGCCTCCTGTGAAATCAAAAACTTGTTTATCCAGGCATCTGAAGAAGTGGGGTTTTTTCCCCAGGAAAGCTTATGCCCAAATAAATCTGTTAGTCCTTAAGGTGCCACCAGACTTCTTGTTTTTGTGGATACAGACTAACACAGGTACCCCTCTGATACTTTGTCCCTGATAGAAAATGATAATATTCTGAATGATGGTAGAAATAATGGTGTCCTGTAGTCTTGTCAATAAGTATCATAGACACTCAACCTTTACTACCGTAACATTGTTTCAGGTTTCAGAGTAGCAGCCATGTTAGTCTGTATCCGCAAAAAGAACAGGAGTTGTTTCAGCTTATCAATTAAAAAAACAAAACAAACAAAAAAACCTGGGGCACAGCTGGGAACCACTGAAAGACTTGCCAGAAAGAGACAGGAGTGGAGGAGCTTCACAGCTACCCTGAGTAATGGGTACCAAGTAACATCTCTCTCGCGTCTCCTGCTTTATGGGGAGGGATGTTCACGGCTGAGAAACAAATTTGTGGTTTCCCGAGAGATCGCGTTTGCAGCGATTCACAGCCATGCTGACAATGTCACAAATAAACAACCAAAGCAGAAACGGCAATCAGAGTGAAATGAAGGAAAGAACACAGCCCCGTGCCCCGCTACCTCTACCGCCCGTGGCCTCTTTGCCGCATTGTCTGGCTCGCAGAGTAGCCCCCCCCTCCCTCTCTCCCCGACTCAAGCTGTGGAAAATGGCGGTGAACGCTAGAGACGGGCCAAAGAGAGAAGGGATGTGTCAGGAAATCTGATTGGTCATATTTTGCCGCAGCCCCCAAATCCTTGAAACCCAGAGAGGAGCATTTTTCAACCCAAAACAGCCGCAGACGCGCGGCCCTCGCTCGGCAGACGCACCCGAAGGGCACCGAGACGAGCCGCATCGGAGTTTGAAAGCGGCTGTTGTTTTAAGCAAGGGACACGGGGGACTCCACTAGAATTCCCGGAGGTAGCGCTTGATCCT